CCCGCGGCGCCCCGTCTGCCCCGGGCGGGCGGCTCCGGTCTGCGGCTCCGCTCCGGGGGGGGGGACGGAGACCGAGGGGAAGGGCCGGGCCGTGGGGGGCTCGGGCTGGACTGCTGCTCCGCCAGCACCGGGGGCTTCGGGGGCGAGGGGAGGCGGCCGCGGCGGGAGGATGAGGCTGCGGGTGTTTTGCGCCTAAAGACAGAGCCACAGCAGCGACGAAATTGAGCGGTTTGCACTGAAAATGGCAGGGGGAGAAGGCGCATCTCTAAGTGGCAAACGCACCTCGGGAACAAAACTGCCAGCTATTATTGGTTTAACTAATTGCTGAATAATTTGGAAATAGTGCAGAAATCAGTAGCAGTCCCAGTGGTGAAGGCTGATGAAAGGTGTATGTAGTGTTCTCGCGAGTAACAGTTGAGCTTTAAAACATACGTAAAAATATGCGTCTTGCCCGTTTAAAAAGTCTCCTTTTCGGAGGGATTAGATTTTAATTGTCCTTCCGCTGTCTCCCTGTGCAGGGCAGATGTTCAGTTTCAAAGGACCTCTAAACCGAACCAGCGGCATCTGTCCTGGATGGGAGCACAGTCTGAGAAAGTCTTACTGCTCCCTGACTTCCTAAATATACCGTCTTTAACTGTGTTTTTTAAAATTCGTTTTCAAAATAATTGACCTCCTATTTTTGGTCTTTTAATTTTTGTTTAGAGACTGCAACTGAAGCTTAAGAGGTCTTCCTCGAGGAACCTTTGGCTTCTTTGCTTAAACTATTTATCTACTTAACTATTTACTAAACCAATAATCGACTAATTTATACGATAAGTGCCATTGATCTTGGAAATCAGACCAGGTTGCCCGTTGATGTAAAATTTCACAAAGAAGCAAATTATTGCAAAGCCTGCGACTTTGTGCCTTTTAAAGGGAAACCGTTTAAAAGCGTGATAATTTTTCTTTTATTTTTAATGGAACTTCTCATTTCCTTCTCAGAAATGCACTAGAAATGCACAATATTGTCCTCTGAGGGGATCTGTTGCTGGCAATTTGTGTGGAATACTTTGTGTAAATAAATCTACACCCAGAGGTGGTGGGAGAAGAGGGACCCGTAAACTTAGGCAGAGTCGAGACTGGAATTATTTTGTAAATTGCAGCAAATATTCATCTGCAACACGATTTGGACTGACTCTTTCTTTTTTTTTTTTTTTTCTCTCTACTTAAACAAGCCTCCGTTTGCACGGGGATGATGGGTTTTAGATGTGGATAGAGCCTGACAAGTGGAAAATAGCTTAGAAGGATGCTGGAACTTCAAAAAGATTTCTTTTTCTTTCTTTCTTCTTCCTTTTCTTTCTTTCTTTTTTTTTTTAAAGTGTGTTCCTGTGATCATAATTTCTTCTTTCACTTGTTGGAATGGAGTTTGATGGTGGTTTTTTTTTAGGTCAGTAAATCAATGGCTGAAAGCTTGCTGAACACAGAAGCACCTGTAAAGAATTCTGAATACTCCCTGTGTGAATTAGACCCCAAACCTCCCACAGCCTGCTATATTTTATTCATTTGTATCTAGCCTGTCTTTAATGTGAAGACACTAAAATATCCTCGAAAATGACAGATGTATTGCGCAGACTTGGGGCGCGACGAGCTGATAAAACACCCATAACCTGTGCAAACCGCGAAGATACTAACACATCCTTCCTTCCTTCACTAGCAGGAAGATCCAGAGCGGTTCAGTAAGAAGGTGACTGACTGTCTAGGCTAGATACACCCCCCGGGGGCTGGGGGCGGCTCTTGGCCGGGGGTCGGGAGCCTGCGGTGCGGCTGGTCCCGCTCCCCGGGCCCGGCGGCCGGTCCCGCAGCACCGGGGCTTCGGCCGGTCCCTCCCCTCCCCGCGCCCCCGGGGCCGACCGGAGCTGACCCTCTGAACGGGCTTCGTCAAAAGCCTGAGGTTGGGTTTTGGTTTGGGGATTTTTTTTTTTTTTTTTTTTTTTTTTTTTCCCCTGACGAAAACGGGAAAAGCCTGGAAAGTTTTGAAGAGCGAATTTCTCTTTCTCTCCTCCTTCCCCCTGGGACCAAAATCTCAGCAGCAGCTTTCCTGCGAGTGCGGTGGCAGAGCGAGCGGACGGGAGTCGCAGGTTAAAAACGGATGTCTCGCAGCGATTTCCTAAGAAAAATCAGAGTTCCCTTCTTTCCCCCCTCCTCCTGCTTCTCTCCCTCCTCCTCCTTCCCCCCTTCCCCCCCCGCCGTAGTCACCTTTTGCGCTCCCGCGGGCGCGGAGCATCTGGCCCCTCCCCGGGGGACTGGGGCTGGGG